GTCGACTAGACAATGTCATCTAGCGGCTCCTCGGGGGAGGTCCTTCTCTGTAGCTGCCCCGGCCCTATGGAATGATCTACCCCCAGAGATCCGGACCCTCCCCACTCTCTCGGCCTTCCGAAAGTCTACTAAGACCTGGCTATTCCGGCAGGCCTGGGCTGTTGACCTCATGAATGAGGTCCAGCCCCACTAAGATTGAGTGCACGATGTGTCTTTTTAACTTGCTTTCCCTCTCTATTTTAAGTTTTTTTCTTAGTATTCTTTTTAGAGCTGTTTTTATGTAAGCCGCCCGGAGTCCTTTGGGATTGGGCGTATAAATTCATTAAACTTTGATCTTTTTATATTTGCCCTTTTTGTCTTTCAGTTCATCACAGTTATTTATGCAGCCATCTCTTGTAGGATCTCTTATTTTTCCTTTTTATTGGTACTGTGCTAGATTGGGCTTCTATAAACTGCTTTTCAGAATTTCCCAAACTTCTTGGATTGCTTTTCTATTAAGAATTTCTATTTGTGTAATTTTTTCCAAATTTTCTCTAAGTTTGTTGAAATCAGCTCTTTTACGGTCCAAGTCACTAGTTTGACTTTGTTCTTCCATGTTTGTCCTTCCATTATGTTGAATATCAATAACACATGATTACTCTTGGCAAAGTTCCTGTAACCAACTCCTTCCCTAATTTCAGTTGGTGAAAATTAAGTCCAGTATAACTGACCCTGTAGTTCTCTTCTCTACTTGTTGAGAGGCACAGATGTCTCCTAGGTTCCTCAGGAACCTGTTTGATCTCCCACTAGTGCAGAATTTGTCTCCCAGTTGATGTCAGGATAGTTACCGATGTCATTACTATTGTGCTGTGCTTTCTGCATATCTTTAACTTGTTAGCTAAAAATCAATCTATTTTCTCTGATTGGTTGGGTGATCTGTAACATATACCAATGGCAATGTCATTTCTTTTTCCTTTTATATTAATCCAAATGCATTCAAGAAGGTTTTCATCATTGTTTTGTTGAATTTCTATAGAGGTGTAATTGTTTTATATATTGCGCAACTCCACGTATTCTATTATTTTTATTTTATTTCATTTTTTAACAATTTGAATCCTTCTATCTGTATTATGGTAATCAAGCTGTAGTCATGGGTTTCAAACTGCCAAATTTCGATAATGGCAACGTCATATTTGCCCTCAGGTACCTGGGACTTCAAGTTCATCTGGTTTGTTCCTCATACGTCTCCTAAAATAGGATATTGAGGAGGCAAATACAGGGAAACTAAAAAAGATTCAAATGCCTATACACTAACACTCAAAGTGTTATTGTATAGGCATTTGAGTCCTATTTAGTGACCCTATTTTACTTCCTCTATCTCCTATTTTATATTTAAGTTCCCCTTCTTTCTTATTACACAGGTCTGCAAAAAAATTTTTTTCGAGAGCTGTTTTAGTTATTCCACATAATCTTTATGTTTTTTGGTGTGCTGAATCTGAAAATGACCTCCATTTTTTCATAGGACATCACGTTTCCTGACAATTTAGGTAACTATGTTAAATAAG